GTTATTGACCCATTCAAATAAAGTTCATAAAATTGCCAAACCTCAAGAGAGAGATCTTGAAATGTCATTTTGCAAGTTGGAAACCAGAGGACGAGCTAAAAAAAATCAGAGAGAAGACACATTGGATATTCAGAGCAGAGGCACCTGCTAGCTGGGGGCTGGCTCACTCATAAAGGGTCTATGAACTTGACCTCGTGGGCCTGATCCAGGGCAAGCAGGTGTGCTGAGGGTGGCTCCAGATTTGTCCTTCTATTAGTAAGCACTTGACACAGGCTATGTGACAATGCGGGTGAAGGGCTTAGCATGAGCCTGGGTCCACAATAAGGGCTTGAGAAATGTCAACTGTTGTAGTCCCTGAGAATCTTTATAGGAATAGGGCTCTACAACAAATGACCAGCGGGTTGACTGCCAAAGTTGGAATTCGTCATGCTGGGTTCCAAACTAAATTGTTTAAGTGCAGAGAAAGGGTATAGAAAAGTCCAAAGCCAGACTCAATAGAATCCAATCAGCTTCTACCACATGCAACTCAAGATGGTGGGACAAGCTGGGCTCGGTGGCTCAGCCTGTAATCCCACGCCTTTGGGAGGCTGAGGTGAGTGGATTGCCTGAGCCCGCGGGTTCGAGACCTGCCTGGGCAGCGAGACCTCATTTCAACAATAAATCAAAAAATCAGCCGGGCGTGGTAGCGCATGCCTGCAATTCCAGCTACTCAGAAGGCTGAGGTGGAAGGATCGCTGGAGCCCAGCAGGTCGAGGCTGCGGTGGCCAGGAGCGGCCACTGCACTCCAGTCTGGGCAACAGAGTGAGACTCCAACTCAAAAGAAAAAAAAGATGGTGGAACAAGACAAAACCCAGTGTGGGATGGGGGTATTCAGCCAGAAGTTTGTCTTTGCATTCTAGAAGAGCAGGGTGAATAGAAAAGGGCACCTGGAGTGGGGAGTAAAGGTAGCAGAAGAGCTTAGGGTTCAGGGCTCTGCTTCCAAGACCATGATCGTGCCACTGTACTCCAGCCTGGGTGACAGAGTGAGACTAAATTCAAAATAAATAAATAGATAAAATCCACCCCATTAGGGTTCTTGTGAGGATTCAAGAAGCTAAAATAAGGGTGCAAGTGCATGCCAGGCATGGCATACACTATGTGGCACATTGGTGCCCCTGGAGAAGCAGCAACATGTGCCCAGCCACAGACCAAGCACCTGAGATAGCCGGGAGGAACCGATGACTGCGTTCTCGCTGGTTCCCTGGGGATGGGTGAATCTCCCTCTTCTTCCTCACTGCCCTGGCAGGAGGAGAGGGAGAACAGGCAGAGGTCGTGGACTCCAAAGAGAAAAACAAGGCAACTGAGAAAAGGGAAGCCTACAAAGAATAACTGCAAACATCGGGGTGCTGGGTGTGGGAAAGCAGCAACCCCTGGACTCACTCCTAAAAGAGCCGGTGCTGCAGGAGGCCGTGGAGGCCAGAGGTGTCCTAAACTGTGAAACAGGGGCTGACTCACACAGTCTCCATGGAGCGTCTGGGATTAGTGCGATGACCTTGGAACGAGTGTGACGAAACTAATCTTGTCGTGGTTATTACAGCTATGGTCGTTGGAGTCTTTCAGCTGAGAGCTGTCACATCCCTGTCACTTGGAGCTTCCTCAACTGAGGTTAGAATTGCTTAGCTGAGACGAAAATTCTCTTTCTCTCTACTCTATGCCAAGAGGTCTCTCGTGTGTGTGTGTGTGTGTGTGTGTGTGTGTGTGTGTGTGTGTGTGTGTGTGTATGTAAAGGGTTGCTGGGGTAAGGATGAAGTCTGAAAGAATAAATTTATTGCACATTTGACAAACATGAATGAGCCTAATAAGTGCCAGGCATTGCTAAAAATGCAGAGAGGATATAACAGTAGGGAGACAGATGAATTCTCTGCCCTAATGGAACTTACACACATCAAGGAATTATCTTGGTAGATACAGGCAAAGCTTCCTTCCTTTCCTTCTTTCCTTCTTTCCTCCCTTTCTGTCCTTCCTCCCCTCTCTCCCTTTCTCCCCTTCCTTCCTCCCTCTCTCCCTCCCTCCCTTCCCTTCTCCCTGCCTTCCTCCGTTAATTCACTCCTTTAAGAATCACTCTTGAATCAGACTGAATCCTAGCTTGGCTGTGTATTAGTTAATTCAGCCTCGGGCAAATTTCTTAACCTCCAATATTTCCTCTTCTCCAAAATGGAGGTAAGAACAGGACCCACCTGCAGGATCAGTCCTACAGTTGTGGAAGTACCAGCTCTGGAAACAGCCAGGAAACTGGATCCAAGCATGGTCTTAGCCCAGACCTGTTGGCTCGGAAAGCTGAGGATGATGGTTGAGAAGTCTGTTTAGCTCTGAGCGTGCCGTGTCCTCTATCCTGGATGACCCAGCATCTATGGTGCACCTCTGAGATGGATGAGGCAAGTGCACCTCTCGCCGGCTACAGGGCTGGGCTTGGGGTGGGGGGAAATGTCATGATCACCCATGCTGCCCGTAGGGCTCTAGCAAGACTTCTGGTGGCCTGGGCGCAGCCCCTTCCTTGGGGAATGCTGCTGAGTCCCTGCTTTATGTACTGACTGCACAAATGTCCTTCTGCCTCCTTTAGATAACTTGATTTATTCAAGTGTTCGCATTTGTCTCTGAGTGCTTGATGAGGAAATTCAGTAAGATCACAAGTCAAGGGCTTAGTGTAATGCCTGACCCCAAGCTAGTGCTTAAGAAGTGTTAACTGTTCTTGTCCTTAAGCACTTGCTATGCGCTAGGCATGCGCCAGATACGCAAGCACACATACACACATGCACACGCACACACATACACAGAGCAAAGGTCAGTAAATGCAAAGTGGCAGCCATTGTTCCCGGGGCAGCACCTTCAGGCTTGAGTGCTTTAAAGCAGAACTCATGGCCTGGCACGGTGGCTCAAGCCTGTAATCCCAGCACTTTGGGAGGCTGAATCTAGGGGTTCAAGAGCAGCCCGGGCAACTTGGTGAGACCTCATCTCTACAATAAATAAAAATTAGCCGGCGTGGGGGCATGCAACTGTAGTTCCAGTTACTTGGAAGGCTGAGGTGGAAGGATCGTCTGAGCCCAGTAGGTTGAGGCTGTGGTGGCCGTGAGCATGCTACTGCACTCCAGCCTAGGTGACAGAGTGTGAGACACCAATTCAAAAAATAAATAAATAAATAAACAGAACTCATGTTCTCTGTCCTTATAAAACATGGGGAGGAAGGGACTGAGTCTGAACACTCGGATATTGGTTTAGCTTATTTCCAGACAAGAGGGAGGATGCTGTCTATCTGTCAAGTGAGGATGTTCTAGAATCTTCCTCCGAGGCGCCTGTGACAAAGCATCAGGCACAAGCAGCGTTTAGCACAGGGTCTGTCTGGCACATGCGAAGAGCTGAATAAATGACAGCTGTGAGTACCACAGTCCCTTTTGTGGGGTAAGAGAGAAAGTCATGTGATGGCCAACTGAGAACATTTTGATGGCAGGAAGAGCTGGGTCTGAATCCCACTTTCTCTCATTTACCAGCTGGAAGGCCTTGGGCAGGTTGTTTAACTTCTCTGAGCCTCAGTCTCCTCAACTGCAAAATGGATTAATCACACACCACCAGCCTCAAGGCCCTGCAAGGAGTCAGTGAAAGAATGGTGGAGGGGCAGCCTGGCTCAGTGGCTCAGCCTGTAATCCCGTGCCTTGGGAGGCTGAGGTGAGTGGATTGCCTGAGTTCGAGACCCGCCTGGCCAACTTGGCGAGACCTCATCTCTAGAATAAATCAAAAAATCAGCCGGGTGTGGTAGCGTGCGCCTGTAGTTCCAGCTACTCGAAAGGCTGAGGCGGAAGAATCACCGGAGCCCAGCAGGTCGAGGCTGTGGTGGCCAGGAGTGGCCACTGCACTCCAGTCTGGGCGACAGAGTGAGACTCCAACTCAAAAAAAAAAAAAAAAAAAGAATGGTCGTGGAGGGGCTTAGCACATGCCCAGAAGGCGTGACATCTCGCTGCTTCCAGTGGAGGGTGGGTGGGGAGGTGGCAGGTGGTGCAGCCAGGTTACTTCTTCACCCTCTGTTTTCGCTTATTTTTCTTTTAAACTCTTGCTGTCTGCCAGAGCTCAGTTTCTTAAATGACAGGTTCTCTTGGAAGACTACCTGTAATTCCTCAGGAATGTTGTGCTCTGTAGACAATGGACATTCAAGGGCTGGATGTGGTGGCTTATGCCTGTAATCCCAGTGATTTGGGAGGCCAAGGTGGAAGGCTCGCTTGAGCCTAGGGGTTTGAGACCAGACTAGGCAACATAGTGAGACCTTGTCTCTACAAAAAATTAAAAATTAGCCAGGCATGGTGGCATGTGCCTGTAGTCCCAGCTACTCAGGAGGCTGAGGCAGAAGGATTGTCTGAGCCCAGTAGGTCAAGGTTGTGGTGAGCCACGATCATGCCACTGCACTCTAGCCTGGGCACCAGAGTGAGACCCTGACTCAAAAAAAAACAAAAGAAAGAAAATAAACATTCAACTCATGTGACTCTGAGGTTGCTAGTGCTCCGAGAGAGGTTTTATCTCCCCCATTTTACTAATGTGGGAACTGAACCTCAGAGAGTCTAAATAACCTGCCTAAGCTGACCGGCTTTTTTTTTTTAATGTCAGGCCTATTTGTGACCAGACTGTGTATCCTTAAAGACCCCAGCAGAGGTAGCATCTCTGGGTTCATTCGTTCTCATTTTCTCTCTCTTTCTCTCTCTCTCCCCTCCCTCATCTCTTCTCCAATGGGTAACAGAAAAGTTTTGGAGTCATACTGGCCCAAATTCCATCCCAAGTTCAAGATCTTGGCTAAACAGGAGATAGCATTACTCACTTCTCTGGATGGCAGTGAGTCAAAGGAGAGTTTTTAAAAATGTACATAATGCCTTGATCTCAGCGTCTGGCACTCAGTAGGTGATCAATAAGTGTCCAGTTCTCCAGACCTCCTCCCCCTCCACAACCCTTCCTTTTCCCGGCCACTTCCTTGAAGCACTCACATGAACCTGAGCTCAGACTCCCGTCGGACCAAGACTTCCCGGAGGCGCTGGATCTTCGCCATCTCCAGCTCAATCTCCTCAGGCATCATGGTTGTCTCTGCCATGGAGATGATGTCCAGTTGATCTGTGCAAGAAACACAAAACACAGGTGTCAGGACCCCGAGGCTGCACCGAGGAGCAGACCCATCATCCATCCAAGGAATAGCCTTGCTCTGGTGACAATTACACACAATGAGGACACACAGATCTCAGTCTGTGCAACAAATGTGTATTCATGAGTGTGCCCTCATGTATTCCACGGGAACCCTGCTATGATGGTAAGCAGAGGCTCAGGTGGGTTACAGAAACCCACTAAAGGTTTTGGTAGCCCCTGCCTGGTCCTAGTTTGTGAGTCTCTGTTCCCCTGACCATGGTGCCTTCACCCTGTCACAGCCTCTGGGACCAAGACAGACTCTATGCAGAAGAAAGTTTCCTAATAATCATCTTACAGTAATACTAAGTAATATAAGTATTAGTAATACAAAGTGATACAAGTTTGTTGTGAAAAAATTCAGGTAAAACAGGTAGGCAAAAGATAATAAGCAAAAATCCCACTGCTCAGAGAGACTCACTACGAACATTTTGGTGGACTTTCCTCCAATCTTATATAGTCAGAGTTATGTATTGCCATATATAGAAAACCATACATAAAAAACATATGTATTGCCACATACATAACCTGATCAATTACCATCTATATAAAAAGACACATACAGATATGCCTGTCTATATGTTTGTGTATTAGTCTATTCAGGTTGCCAGAACAAAATACCACAAGTTGAGTGACTTCGATAACAGCAATTTACTTTGTCACACTTCCGGAAGTCCAAGATCAAGGTGCCAGCAGAATTGGTGTCTGGTGAGGGCTGTCTTCCTGGCTTATGGACTGCTGCCTTCTTGCTGTGTGCTTGCATGGCTTCATCGTATGTCCAGAGAGGGAGACAGGAGCAAGTTTCTGGTGTTTCTTCTTCTAAGGACACTAATCCTATCAGAGCATATGATCTCATATAACCTTAGTGATTTCCTAGAGGCCTCATCTCCAAATACTGCCACACTAGGGGTTAGGGTTTCAACACAGGAATTTTCAGTTCATAACACTATGGATTTATGTATGTATACCAGGGCAGGGGGGACACAAAAAGTGGAATTATTTTTTGCAGGACGGGTCCCTTGTAGTACAGGCTTTCCCTGCTAGATAAGTGTTCTAGGAACCCGTTGGCATCAGTGTACCAGTTAGCATTGCTGTGAAAGGCTGCATTTGGCTTCAGTGAATTTATTTTTTTTTAATTTGAAGACTCTTTCAGTGTGTTTGCCCATTTCATGATGGATAATTTACGAGTGTACCTGCCTACACTGTGCTGAGTGTTCAGAAGTTTTTAACTAAAAACAGCATGATCCCCATGCCTTACCCTCTCTATTCACCTGATCTCACCCTAAGTGACTTTTTTTTTTTTGCTTCCGCAGATGAAAAAAGGCCTCAAAGGAAAATGCACTGATGTGGAAGAGGTGAAACAAAAACTGAAAGAACACTAAAAGGCCTCAAAATTGACCAGTTCAAAAACTGTTTTGAAAGTTGGAAAAAGCATCTCAATAGGTTTACTGCATTCGTCAGAGAGTACTTTGAAGTTAACTGAAGTTTAAACGTGTAAGAATAAACATAAAATTTTTAATAAATAAATTCCAAGTGTTTTGGGGTCCCCCCTTGTATGTGGGTGTATATACATATTACCACATGCATTACCATTGACATTTTAGTGTATATGCTTCCAGTGTATATATCTCATCTCTACTACCTACCTATCTCTCTATCCATCTACAGAGATAGATAATCAGAAGGGAATTTTATAAATAATCATCTTTTCTTTTTTTTTTTTGGAGTTGGAGTCTCACTCTGTTGCCCAGACTGGAGTGCAGTGGCCGCTCCCGACCACCGCAGCCTCGACCTGCTGGGCTCCGGCGATCCTTCCGCCTCAGCCTTCCGAGTAACCGGAATTACAGGCATGCACTACCACGCCCGGTTGGTTTTTTTGATTTATTGTAGAGATGAGGTCTCGCCGCCCAGGCGGGTCTTGAACCCACGGGCTCAGGCAATCCACTCACCTCAGCCTCCCAAAGGCGCGGGATTACAGGCTGAGCCACCAAGCCCAGCTTAAATAATCATTTTATAGATCTCTATAACTAGATAGAGAGATATGGTAATTTATGTCATTATATATCAAACACGAAGTGTGTGAATATAGGGTAATATATGGTTTTATTTATATATATATAATATGTATAATATTAGCCAAAGACACACATACATCTTTAAAAGGTAGAAAAATGCACACTAAAATGTTTGTTTAAAGTGTTCACATATGTTGGGCATGGTAGCTCACACCTGTAATCCCAACTCTTTGGGCGACTGAAGCAAGGGGATTGCCTGAGCCCTGGGGTTCGAGGCCAGCCCGAGCAACTTGGCAAGACCTCATCTCTACAATAAATAAAAAAGTTAGCTGAGCATGGTGGCTGAGGCAGGAGGATCACCTGAGCCCAGTATGTGGAGGCTGTGGTGGCCATGAGCATGCCACTGCACTCCAGCCTGGGTGACAGAGTGAGACTCCTACTCAAAAAATAAATAAAATAAAATAAAATGTTAATATACACACGTCACACACATACATACACAAACACACCTTATTATATACATATATACATTTCCCAATTATATAGGTCTTGTTTTTATAATATAGAGTGAAGGTCTCCTATTTCATGATTGGCTCTTTTCCCTTAGAGGCCTGTCATGAGGTTGCTCCTCAGCAGCAGTGTGAAAGGCTGGGTGGTTTTCTATTTGTGGCTGCATCACGAAGTGCTTAGCCCATCTGCAGACATGTAGGCTGGTTCCCTTTTTTCCCCACTGTAAGCAGCCCTGTGAGGAGAGATCTCAAAGCTAAATCTTTGCACACTTCCAAGCGGTTCCTTCAGGGCACATTTCCAGAGTGAATGGCTGGGTTTTAAAGGATGCAAGATTCAAAGCCTCACACAGGCAGAGGAATAGACTTGGGGGAGGCTATGCTTTTGCTCTCCTCTGAGATAGCTTCATGTCACCTGTGTCTGCTGATTCCTTGCACACCAATCCCAAGGCTGAGCCTGACCTCACACCTCACTTCTGCTGCCAAGTATCTTTTTCCTTATGCCCAAGTTCATGATTTGGAAAGCTGGCCTCTCTCTATCTGTCTGTTTCCCTGGCCCCACACGCTGGCACAAAGCTTGGGGTGCTGGGGCAATCCCCGCCTACCTGGATCTCAGAACAGCATTCCCTCCCAAGTGCCCACAAGACGTGTTTGTCCATCTGGGGACTCTCCCAGCACCAATTTCTTCCGCAGCCATCAGATTTTTGGTAAGTAGCATATCCTTCCATCACCCACCCCCTAACGTGTCTGTTCCATGGGCCAAGATGACCTGTCTCCCTCCACCAAGCAAAACTCCTCCTTAATTTGCTGAGGCATCAGGAGGAAGGCCATTCTGGGTAGCTGATTCTCACATTGAAATGGATGCACCCCCCTTCATACTCTCAGCAACAGTTCCCAGCTCATAAGAGGAACCATAACAGTAGGGCCTGAGGGTCACAGGCCCATTGGAGATTTTCTCCCCTTTTGGTTCAGTGTCTTGGGGCAATAACTGCTCCTTTTATATTTTCAGAGAGCGTCAAGTTTCCACAAGATAGGCAAGTGAAGTACATGGATAGGGTAGAATTCGCTGTTGAGTTGGGGAGAAGGCGCCAAATAATTGTATGAATCGAAGGAGGGAGGGGAAGTGGGGGAATGAGAAACGTGGAATTGGAGAGATTCACCATCGCCTTCTCCCTGCCTGCTAAGGATGGCAGGTCGTGAAGACTGTCCCGCTGCTGACTGAACTGGTGTCAGGAGAGGCTGAAAGGAGAGATGTCGGGAGGGTGTGGCAGAAAGAAAGGGGGAGGGGGAGGAGCCAGAGGAAGGAGAGGAGGGGGAGGAGCCAGATGAGGAAGGGGAGGAGCCAGAGGGGCTGCCTCAGGTGGTGGCTTGGAAAGAGGAAGAGGTGTCTACAGAGGTGTAGGATATTCTCCATGTGATGTGCTGGGTAAAGATCTCCTTGGGGCCATGGAGTTATGCCTCAAGGCCCCTGGCGTCAGATTTGGGGCCTTATTGCCCTTGACACTATACTGAGATGGCCCCTGGGACTGGGCAATACAGCCTAGTTTGAGGAAGGAGGGAAGGAAGAAGGGGTATGATAAAGATATTAATATTGATTGAGTGTCACTGTGTGCTGGACTCCGACCTGGCCAGAAGACCACATCCATCCACTCTGGGAACAGGAAACTCGAGGGCTGTAATGGTTGGGGAAGGGGGAGGCAACATGGACATTCTGGAGTCAGAAGACTTGCGTAGCTGTATGGCCTCTGATCATTTTTCTTCCTTCCTCTCTTCCTTCCTCCCTCCCTTCCTTTCCTTCCTCAGCCTCTCAAGTAGCTAGCACTACAGGTAAGCACCGCCATGCCTGGCTAATTTTTTATTTTTTGTAGCGATGGAGTCCCACTATGTTGCCAAGCCTGGTCTTGAACTCCTGGCTCGAGTGATCCACCCATCTCAGCCTCCCAAAGTGCAGGCATGAGCCTCCGTGCCCAGCCGGCCTGGAGAATTTCTTAACCTCTCAGGGGCTCAGTTTCTCCTCTGTAAGATGAGGTTAGTAAGAGAGCCCATCATCCAGTGCAGTTGTGAGGGACGAATTAACTGAGGCACATCATGCTCAATACCCGCTTACGACTGACCTTGTTCTGACTCCACACCTGCTCTGCCTGTCGGCTCTTTCAATCCTCAACACACGCCAGCAGGATCAGTGTGTTCTCATCTTTACAAATAAGAAAACAAAGGCTCCAAACAGGCAAGGGAAAGAGCCGAGCCCATGTCTGTCTCCAAATTCATGCTCTTTGCTGTATCACAGCTGTCTCTGGTCCATGTAGGTGGTGTAAGTCTCTATTCATTCACACCTTGAAGTCAAGGGATGGTGCTATAACAAATCACCGGGGATGCAGAGGCTTCAAACAACAGGAATTTCGTCTCTTATAGT